GGCCGGATCGAGTAAGAAATCTTCGGTCTCCTCGGCAGGTTCAGCCCTCGGCCTACCTTCTTCTTCCTCCAGGGCCTTGGCGGTGATGGTGTCAATCCGAAATTCAGTTTTACTAACCTTCTTGGTAAGCTGAAGGTAGCATGCCCTGGAGAGCTTCTGATTTCCCCTCGAGTAACCGATGCCGGTAGGCGTGGGGAATTTGAGGCAGAGGTGCCTCATGGAGATGACGGCTTCCAAGTCCTCGAGGGCAGGCCGGCCGAGGATGATGTTGTGTGCGCAGTCGAGGTTGACGACGACGAACTCCACTTCGAGCTTGGCTCTATGGGATCCGTCGCCGAATTCAACCATGAGGGTGATGACGCCCTCGGCGTCGATGCTGTCCCCCGTGAATCCGGAGAGGGGGGTGTTGATGTGCCGAAGGGACCCCCTGTCGAGTCCCAACTCTTGAAAAGTGTTGAGGTACATGACGTTGACAGAACTCCCCGTGTCGACGTAAGTCCGATGGATGATGGCGTCATTGATCTCAGTGCGGATGACGAGGGCATCCCTATGCGGCAGAGAACCCGAGGGGAGGTCCGCATCTGTGAAGAAAATTGGATCCGCCCTCGGCCGTTTAGTTGGGGGCGCGTGGCTGACCTCCCCAACGTAAAGGGATTGAGCCCACTTCTTCCGCTGGCTGGTGGAGTCTCCACCAGTGTTGCCACCATTAATCATGTGGATGTGGCGCTTGTATTGTTGGTGGGAGCCCTCTCCCTCATCATCGAGGCCCCCAATTTCTCGCTTCTTCCCCTGTGGGTTTCCCAAGGGGATGGTGTTGGGGTTCACCCACTTGTTGGCCTTCGGCGGAGGCCCTTGATGGTGGAGGGGGCCCTGGGGAGGAGGGCCCCTGATAAACTGAGATAAGTGGCCCCTGATAAACTGAGATAAGTGGTGGCAATTGAATAACATTTCCTCCAGCGTAGGGCTGGAGGGGTGCCTGAGAGGCGAGGGCTCCGGAATTGAGAGCCATGTTTTGAACAAAGGCCGCAAAGGCAGCCTGAAGATCGATGGCCGAGGCCGGAGGAGGAACTTGGTTCTCACTCCGATCCCTCCTTCGATTATCAAGGCCAATGCGGGCATCGGGGGTGTTCTTCTGCAGCTGCTGACGTAGATCAGCGGTGGCTTGCTCTAATTCGAGGATGACACCACCCTCGGGTACTAAGAGCCTGTTGGAGGCCTCAGCCCCGTTAGTTTCGCCGGGGGCTACGTAGTTTTCCTCAAGGGTCTTGGATTGGGCACGGGTGGTTCTTCCCATTTTTGGTAAGGGTTTGTGTTTGGTAGAGGGGGAGGGTTTCTTACTTGATAGTTCAGACCTCTCAACGAGAGCACCAAATGATGGATAGTCTACCCGGGGGGTATCTTATCCGAGGGGTTATCGCGGGAATAACTTAGAGAGAAGTCCGAGCAAATAGGAGGAGAGAGAGTCGATTTTATTAAATGAACTCGAGATGTGGAGGTGAGATGTAGATCGTGTTTTACAAGGAGAAATGGGCTGCTATTTATAGCAGCAATAAATGCGATGAGGGGACACGTGTCAGTAATCCAACGGCCGAAGGGTCACATCAGCCGGTTGGCACCGGCAGTGGTACGTTCACCGCATTGAATGCGGTTGGCGGATGTGACGTGGCATTAAATGCGGTGGTTGGCTGTCTCCAAAAGGAATCTTCGATGATTGAGCATGCTTGGCCGAAGGCTTCTGGTGTAGCCGAGGGCTCCGTGTAACCGAGGACCCCTGTGTAGCCGAAGGCCTTGTGTGACCGAAGGCTTTGTTCAGCCGAAGGCCTCTCTGATGCCGAGGGCTCGATAATACCGAAGGCTCATGTTTTTCGCCGTTTTCTCCCAGTAGCTTCTTATGCTAGAGAAGGCTATCCTGTGAGTTTTGGAGCCTTCGGCCAAGGAGGCCGAAGGCACCCCAGTGTGTGTTCTGGGTTACTTTGAGGCTCGGGCCGTTGCATTTGGGCCTGAGTTGTTCTCTGGGCTCAATGGACTTGTGTAGGAGAAGTAGGAGTCCATGGGCCGGGGGTTCCCGGGCCATATACTCCATCAGGAGTCCCTCACTCCTTTTGCCGAAAGGTACTTGAGGGAAAAGGAGTAGATGTGTTGGTTCTTCCGGAGGCTGCATCATTTCGTTGGGTGCCTTTGTTGGAGAACTCGTCTTCTGCTGATTGCCGAAGGCTTCCCCCAGTCCCTCACATGCCGAGGGTTTTCTGAAGGAAGTATAACGTTTGTATGAATGCCGGAGCCTCTCCTCAGTCCCTCACATGTCGAGGGTTTTCTGAGGGAGGCGTAAATAATATCTGTATGTGTTGTGATGAGGGCTGCCTCATTTTTGTTAGTGACTGTGGAAAATTTCTGACATTTTGCTTTGCCGAAGGGTGTAATGGTGTACGCACCCGAGGGATGCATGTGTCATTTGTAGGTTTCTTGTATGTGGCACATTTTCATTTTTAGTCGGGTGTGTTTCCCGAGGGGTGTGTCCCAGTCCCCCACTCCTTTAGGCCGAAGGCAAGTTCGGGGTGAAGGAGTTATGATGTGTTGGTGGAACCCGTTGTCTGAGGGCTGCGGAGAGTGATAACCGGAGGCTATCATTCGAGGGCGTCCCAGTGTTGTCGAAGTATAGTGGTTGTAATATAGCCGTTGGAAAAGAGCCGTTGGAGGGGGGTTCCACGTGGCGTGATTCAGTTGGCGGGTGCCACCCATTGGTTGAACCGGCGGCGTGTAATGATGGGCTTTCGAGTTGAGGCCCAGTTCTCGAGGCCCATCTGCCTATAAATACCCCAAGGCAGAGCTCAGTCCTCCTTGTGCGTTCATAAACTCTAGCGAAGCTCTGCCGAATTTTCTAGAGAGAGAAACCTTTGCCTTCGATCAAACGCGACTCTTGAGGTCAGTTCTTCCTCCGCTCTTTGTTTCCCTAGTGCTTTCAGCTTTTGTCGTCCTTAGGCTAAACGTTAGAGTCGCCTAGGAAGCCCTCTGTTTTAAACCCTTCGGACATGTCTTCGCAAAGCGATTCTCAAAATATTTCCAAAGAGCCTTCGGTGCAGTCCGAGAGTATATCCGAGGTGGAATCCTCGAGTGAGACACTGTCGGCCAATAATGACCACGTGGTAGCTGAGGAGGTTCAAAACGCTCTTCGGGCCGAGATGGAGGCCGAAGACTTCGAGCAAGTGAATGAGGACGAGGAGCTGGCCCTCGCAATCCAAGTGGCCGAGGAGGAGGAGGAAAAGGAGAGGAAGAAGGTCACCATTGCCGTCCTACCTGCTCATAATGACGCCGATGCCGGAAGCTCCAGACCCCTCGATCCGGAACCCCTGAGTGTGGCTCCGGGCAAGAGGAAGAAGAAGACCAGGGGGCCCTCGAAAAGGAAACAAGCAGCTGTTGACGCCGGAAGGCCCGTAGGGATACCCGAAGGGCACTCATATCTGAACACTGCTGCTCTAGAGGTGAGGACGAAGGCCACACATGCGGAGTACGTGGCGACACAGTTCTTCGTTGGGCCTTCGGCACAGGTGGTGGAGCCGGGGCCGAATGACGTGCTTCTTCACGCCCCCCGCCGGCTGTTTCGCGGTGCATATCCTGTCGGTGGAGCTGGGCCTCCGGTTCCCCCTCCATCCCTTCGTGCTACAATATCTCCGCTTTGTTAAGCTCGCCCCTTGCCAGTTGACTCCCAATAGCCACTCTTATCTGGCGGGGTTTCTGTCCCTATGCCGGGAGAGGAAGGTAGAGCCTTCTTTGGACCAGTTCTTCCTGTCGTTCAACCTTTGCCGGGGAGGGCACTCTAATGCCGGGGGGTTTGCCAACTTGCAACAGATCCCCGAGTTCAGACTGTTTTCCGAGGTCCCTTCGTCCCACAAGGGATGGAAGGACAAGTTCTGCTATGTTCGAATGGCGGAAAATCCATTCGCCGCCCCCCTTCGGGACAACTTCAAGAGGCACCCGAAGGTCGGGAATGCTGCTCTTGTGAAGAATGGGAGGAAGCTGGCCGAGAAACCGGAGGGGTCAGACAAATTGAAGACCATTAAGGATGCTACCCTCCCGGAAGAACTCTTCAAGCTTAGCTTTCGGCGGTTCCGCTTGATGGGGGAGGCTGATGAGGAGTACCCCCTGATAGACAGGGTTTATGAGAGCGCCGAAGGTGATCGCCGGGGGCTTCTAGTTGTGTACTTAGGAATTTCTTGCTTTTCTTACTTCATTGTTCTGTTCTAATATTGGAATGCTTTTTTGCAGGCCCCGAGATGGACGCGAAGAATTTCGCCAGGCTGAAGAAGCAGTTGGCCAAGGAGCCAAAAAAGAAGGAGGCTGGGTCACATAAGCCCGTTGATGAATTCTTCCGCAAGGATGAGGCCGCCCAGGCCCAAATCGCCGGGACCCCCCTCCAAAGATGCCCCCGAAGCTGGTGCCATCAAAACCGAGGTGGCAAAGAGGAAAGCGCCCGGCAAAGGCGTCGTTCCCGAAGGCAAGAAAGTTAAGAAGTCTGTCAGTGCGAAGGGGGAGCCGGTGGTTTTATCCGAAGGTCATTCCTCTTCCGGCACGCCGGTGGTGATTGCTACTGCCAACGCTCCCTCGGGTCGGGGGGCTGAATTGACATGGCCTACGGAGAACGTGCAATTCTCCATTACGAAGGGGACCGCCATTATGCACGGCACCCTCAACCCGAGGGAGTTTTTAAATGGCGCCACTCCCCCCGACGGATAAGTCGGTGCTGTCCAGGATGAAGGACGATGCCCTCGGCGGCAAGATCCTACAAGCTTCCGTCACTGTAAGATTTTTCCCTTCCTTCTTTTGACTTAGTCCGTTTTGTTTAACATATTTTGATTTCCGAGCTTTGACCCTCGTTGTTCGATGATTCGATTTTGCAGGCTGCCCTCGGACTTGGTGAGCTCCTCAAGAGGTTGGAGGAATCACAGGCCCAGAAGCGGCAAGCCGATGAGGCCCTGGCAGAGTCCCGGAGGCAGCTTCGTGAGGCCCGGGAAGCCCTTCGGCTGGAACAAGAGGCCTTCAACCAAATCCTTGAGAATAGCAAGGTTATTGCCAGAGCCGAGGGGAAGGCGGATGCTGAGAGGGTGGCTGCTGAGGAGGCCAAGAAGGTTGCTGACAAGGCCGAGGAGGAAAAACGGGAGGCTATCGGTCAGGCGAAGAAAGATGCCGTTTCTGAATTTGTCGCTGGGGGATGGAAATCCGAGGGCCACAAGCAGTGGATAGCCTCGGTAATCGAGGAAAGCGTCGACGGCTGGGTCGGTGGCCCCGGGGCGATGTGGCTAGCTCAGAAGGGGAAGAGCTATTACGAAGGCGGTGAGTACTTCACCCAAGCCAACATCTACCGGAAGCTGGCTCGGCATTTCAATGTTGATCCGAAGACGTTCAAGCCAGAAGCCTACGGCCTTCCGCCCCTTCAGCCCGATGTGCGGATCCCTCTGCCCGAAGGCGAGGAAAGAGAGCTGCTTGAAGATTCTGAGCTAGCGAAGGAGGCCGATGACGAGGAAGTTGAAGATGACGCAGCCTCCAGGTCAAAAGGAGGCAATCATGAAGCTGCCCCTTAGGAAATTCATGTTTTCAATCTCTTTGTAATAGATCAGCGCTTCATCGGCTTCGGCCATTTGTAAACAAACATTTCTGCAACTCCCCAACAATTATCATGAATGTTCGCCTTCGGGTTTTGTTTTGTTATATGAATGGTTGCCTTCATTTTCGATTCTTCTGTGTGAATGTATGCCTTTCTTCACTATGTATTTTTTCCCGGAGGCCATAAGTTTGTGGACTTAGAAATTTTTCTAAGTGTAACTCCCTGCTAGCCCCCGGTTGTAGAGTAGAATCGCTGGGGGGTCGTTGTTGTGGACTTAGAAAGAAAATTTTCCAAGTGTGAAACCATTCATGAGCCCCCAGTCGTATATTGAGGTTGCCGGGGGCTTGTCGTTGTGGACTTAGAAATTTTTCTAAGCAAAACTTTTGTCAAAACCCTTCGGCTGCAAAGCAGAACCTCAGAAATGAAATTGTATCTTATGTCCTCGGAAATGCTGAGCCTTCGTCAGTAGTGTAGCTTTAGGTCATCGCCAAGTAGTTTTAGGGGCCATCGGCAATGAGTGTGTAGTTGAAGAATTGCCCCCCCGAAGGGTCTACATTTGTGGACGTAGTCATTTTTTCACGAAGTTTTCAATAGATGCTGTAGGGGACCTTCGAGTGTGAGACGTGCATGGCCGTCGGGGGATAGCACAAAATCAGGACCCCTCGGGTGCAATGTGGGATTACCGGGGGGTCGTTGTTGTTTTTTAGACTTAGTCAAATCTCCCCCAGATTTTCAATAGGCATTGTAGTGAGCCCTCAGATAAAGGAGTTTGATGAATCTCCTGCCGTTGTAGGTCTTATGAACTTGTTCCACCGATCCGAGGGCTTGCCTCCGAATGTGAGATAGACTAGCTTCATCGTGTAGTAAGCTTTTGAAAAGGGGGAGCCTTCGGCATATCATTTGCCGCTTAGTCTCACTGAAAATTTGGACTTAGCCAAGTTTTGGTGAAGTTCTGTTGGTGAGGCCTCTTCGTGGGCTTCCGGGGGAACCGTTTGTACTCCGAGCCTTCGGCTATGTAGCCAGACGACTTGTCGCCGAATGATTTTCTTGTGCCTTTGTAGGAGCCTTCGGTAATATATATCCGAAGTGTTGAGCCTCCGGGGAGAATAGTATCCGGGGAGTTTCCTTCCCCCCTACACATCTTTTTTTTTTTTTTTTTTTTTTTTTTTTTTAGATGGTGTAGGAGAGGCATCTAGAAACTTGGTGTCTAGGAAAGGCTTGGCCTATATGGGAGGCAACGGAACAAACCGTTGGCTCCCCCTTCGGGAATGACCTTCCGATATCCCGAAGGGTTTGAGGGTCGTTTCCTCGGCCCGAGACATCGTCTGTTGCCTGCTTCCCCTTGGGAGATAGCGCGGAAAGCGCCTCGGTTTTGAAAGTCGTCCCCTCAGCCCGAGACATGGTCTGTTGCCTGCTTCCCCTTGGGGGATAGCGCGGGGAGCGTTTCGTTTGTGGAAGTCGAATCCTGGGCCCGGGACATGGTCCGTTGCCTGCCTCCCCTTGGGGGATGGCGCGGAAAGCGTTCCTGGGAAGGGTTTTATTTGTGTGTGGGACACAAATAGCCGGGGGTACTTGGTACCAGCCGGAGCCGAGGGGTATTGCAAACCCCCGGTTTTTTTTTTTTTTTTTTTTTTTTTTTTTTTTTTTTTTTTTTTTTTTTATGAGAGTATGTAAAAGTATGCATAATGTATGCATGGTTGCGTCCTCGTGGGGTACGGCTTAGTGAGAAAACACTTGGTGTTTTCAAAGAGTGATGGGGGTGACCCATACACTTGGTACTTGGTACCTAAATTGTTGTTCCCCTTCCTGAGAGGAAGAGGCCTCGGGTCTATTTTGGTGAAGAGATGAGGGCTTGGCCACTCATTTGTAGGAGAGAAAAGGGGGCCTTGGGCCGCTTGTACAATATGTATGTGATGAAGGCTTGGCCTTTTGATTATTCTTCAAAAACAGATGGGGCCTTGGGCCATTGATATTTACACTTGTTGAGGATGAGGGCTTGGCCGCTCATTGATAAAACTTTACCAGGTGGTGCACATTCCAATGTCTAGGAATCTCTGTCCCATTAGGACGTTTTAATTTGTATGTCCCCGGTTTGATGATGGCTGAGACAATATAAGGGCCTTCAAACTTGGGTGCCATCTTCCCTCCTTCGGTGGGTAGACTGGCCTCCCTTCGTCGGAGGACGTAGTCACCCACCTGAAATTCCCGGGAGCGGACCTTGGCGTCGATGTAGCCCTTGACTTGTCTTCTATAGTTTTCGGCCCTGAGGAAAGCTTGCTCTCGGCGTTCTGAGATGAGATGAAGGTCGAGGGCCATGTTGGCGTCGTTGACCTCGGGATCATATTGTTCCACCCTTCGGGTGGGAAGAGTCACTTCTGTTGGAGCCTTAGCCTCAAAGCCATAGCATAGGGAGAATGGTGTTTCGCCTGTTGCGCGCCGAGGGGTGGTGCGGTAGGCCCATAAGATGTTGTGTAGCTCTTCTACCCAGCCTCCCCCTTCGGCTTCCAGCTTCTTCTTCAATCCTTCGAGGAGAGTGCGGTTGGCATTTTCTACTTGTCCATTGCCCTGAGGGTAGGCAACGGAAGAGAATGTGTGCTTGATGCCCCAAGCTTCAAGGAGGGCACAGAAGGGGGCCGCCTCGAACTGAGTCCCGTTGTCGGAGATAATTTGTTGGGGGACGCCAAACCTTGTGAGAATATTTTTGAGAACGAAGTGGCGGCACCGGGCCTCAGTGATGCTGGCGAGGGGTTCGGCCTCCACCCATTTGGTGAAGTAGTCAATGGCAACGATGATGTGCCTATTGTTGGAGGTACCCCTCGGCAGAGGGCCTACAAGGTCGATACCCCATCTGGAGAAGGGTATGGCGGTGCTGATGGGGGCGTAGTTGACCGCGGGCCTGCCGGGGGCCTTCTGAAAGTGTTGGCAAGCGGTGCACCTTCGGGCTAGATCAGCACAATCCCTAGCCATCGTGGGCCAGAAGTAGCCTTGAACTATGAGCCTTCGGGACATGGAGAAAGGTCCCTGGTGAGCTGAGCAAGTGCCACTGTGCACTTCCTCCATGGCGACTTCGGCCTCGTCTTGATGAAGGCACCGAAGGAGGGTGCCGTTGTAAGATCTCTTGTAAAGCCTCCCGTTTTCGATGGTGTAGCTGGGAGCCCTCAGTTTTGTCAATCTCGCGCGGGCCTCATCTTGGGGTAGTTGCCCCGTGGTGATGAAGGTGGTGATGTCGGAGATCCAATCCTCCGGTCTCAGGTTAATGTTCATAATGGGGCTTGCGTGGATGCTTGAGAGGCTGAGCTCCTCGATTCTTGCAATTTTTGAGAGGTGCTCGGGGGATTCATCCGAGAGCTTGGATAGAATGTCGGCCTCAGAGTTTTGAGCCCTCGGTATTTGGGTGAGAGAATGTGCCTCAAACACCTCGAGCAACTCCTTAGCCGCTTCTTTGTATTGTTTCATCCTTCCTTCCTTGGCTTCGTATTCCCCGGAAATTTGACCCACAACAAGTTTGG